TGCTCTTTCTCATCCTGTAGTGATATGAGACATCTTAATGGTAGCGTGAAGCCCCACCCAGAAAGGCACACTGAAGCTTAATATTGGTGGGAAAAATTGCACAGAACTTCCTCCCATTTTTTGGCAGGAACCTTTTGAAGGGGACGTATTATGAGCTTTTGATGGAAAATCTGAGCTTTTAAAAACGGTCCTTTAGAAACAATGATGTAGAAATAAGATTGCTGAATTTTTAAAGAAGAGAGTTCAGATGAAATGAGTTGTGAGCTGTAATAGGTGGAAAGATCAAGGGGAGGAACTGTTTTTTGTGTTTAAAGGAGTCCGAGGACACATGCAGTGGTGTAGATGTTGGGAGAAGAGCTGTGGGTCAGAGCTGAGTTGGCTGGTTGAGCTGTTTATTGGTGCGATGCGAGTGAAGCTGGAATGAGCGGAGTCATCGTACTTCTGTAACTCGATGCTCAACCATGATGGCCCACGGCAGCTGAGCGGCCACTATATCAGTGTTTGTATGGTACGGATGTGCATGAGAGCGATACAGAGTGTGTGTCTGTCTCCACTTTCCCAGCCCCTCTCTGTATGCTGAGCCCCCACAGAGAAAGACTGAATTCTCAGAGGTGTACGTACTGTATATCTGCGTGCCTTCAACTTGCACATATGCACGTCATTGCCACTGGATCAAGAAAAAAATGAATATAAAATTATATAATTATAAAAACATATGTATGCATTGAAAATGTAAATTAGAAAACAATTTTTAAACACTTGACTTGATTTATCAGAAATTATGTGGGCTATAATCATCATTTAAAAAATTGTAAAAGCACACAACAAAAACCACTAGTTTTGTGGGAAATTTATAAAATAGCAATGACTGTGTCACAAAGAAAGCTTACAACTAAAAAGTATGGAGTTTGCATGTTCTCCCTGCATTTGCGTGGGTTTCCTCCGGGTGCTCCGGTTTCCCCCACAGTCCAAAGACATGCGGTACAGGTGAATTGGGTAGGCTAAATTGTCCGTAGTGTATGAGTGTGTGTGAATGTGTGTGTGGACGTTTCCCAGAGATGGGTTGCGGCTGGAAGGGCATCTGCTGCGTAAAAACTTGCTGGATAAGTTGTCAGTTCATTCTGCTGTGGCGACCCCGGATTATATATATAGATTTTAAATGACTTCAGCACATCTGTTGCCACAAGATTTTACTAGTCTCTCACAGACTTCACCAGTCTCTTGCAGACATCAGACAAAGTGAACAGCGCCTTAGCGGCCCCCTGGCTGTGTGTAATGCTACATTAGTTGCAGTCTGAGAATTTCTGAGAGATGTAAAATTTTAAAACTGTGTGGTAGGTTTTTTTTTTTTTTTTTTACGTAGAATTAATATTTATTTACATTTTTTTGTAAATATACCTTTGTAAACAAAGTAGCTTCAATGTGAGTAGCAATCTTTTGTGTAGTTTGAAAGTAGCTTAGGCTACTGTATTTAATGAGTAGCTTATGAAGCTACAGTGCCAGAGTAGCTTCCCCAACACTGCTCAGAATGCACAATCTGAAAACATTCTGCTTTGTCTGATATCCAAATAATCAGCCAGCAAACCATGACCGAAGCAAAGTTTTACAGCCAGTTTTGTATGGTGTCTAAAACTGTACTGTCTTTACCCAAGAGGTCAGTCAGAGAAAAGCGGAAGCAAGAGATGATGATGATAAAAATGTGCAAAATTTATTCAATCGTCGTATGTAGCTACTCAAAATTTTCTAGTATTTGATTTAACCCCCAGGGTGTTTGCATTGCTGTTATACACTAATGTTTGTGCCAAAGGATAGCCAACATTGATGTCCATTTCGTTCTTTGTAAATTGTTATTTATAAATGTTCTTTCTAAATAGTTCTTTATAAATGTTCGTTTATATTTAGTATTGTGTTGTGTTATGAATACAAAATGGCTGCCTGACACACACTCATAGTTGCCTGCCATTGGCTGTGTCTCTGTAAAGTCATCATGATCTATGGGAGTTGGCTTGGAAGCCAGTGTCTGCTAAGTTAATAAGTAATATGATGTTCTAGAGTAATGTTTGGCTCTCCTTGTCCTTGGTACTGTGGGAAAGTGTCTTGCTCTTTGAGACTGACTTGTACACTTGTGTCTTGTCATTGCTTTGACAGTTATTTAGGCTGCAGTTGGTACAGTCTCAAGTGTGGCAGACTAGAGTTTCGGTTGATTGTGGTCATGTCTTAGACTAGAGGGAGGGAGAATATGTTATTTGCCTTATCATCACAATCATTGACCTATTGATGTGACTTACAGAATAATAATATCAGATTCAGAGCTCATTGTTTTGATATTTGCTGTATTAAATGTAAGATTCAAGTTACTAAGTAATCTGAACTACTGTATCAGCAACGCCAGCTAAAAACATTAAATAAAATCTAGCTAATGCCTTCAAGACATCTAGTGTATACTTTACGAACTAAATGACTTTTAGTGTAATTGTAAAAACGTCCGATCTTCATATTTTTTTTGTATAAAATCTAGAGATGTAATACTATCAGAATTTCACGGTACGATAAAACCTCGGTATGAATGGCATGGTACAGATTATTGAATAATTTACAGGAAAAACTAAACTAATGAAAAGACTCGAAAAAAGTGCCAAAAGTGTTTATTTACCTTATCACTGAACATATTAATGACATACAAATTAGCCATCTATCTGTAAATTTCGAAACAGGAACTTCAATTTTTCAATTTTAATAACAAAAAACTTTCAAACCATATAAAAAAAATAAAGTTTCAATTTAGTAATGTTGAAAGCTCATCACATTCAACATTTAAGCACTCACTCACTTAGATAGAGATGGGTTTTTTAAGGAAAATTAGTACATAACTATAACCTGGTAAAAAGTCCCCTGCAACAGAAAAAAAAACCCTCTCATTTGGGACTGAGGTTTCTGGGACAGAGAGATATGATTTAGCCAAGGTTGACAGCAGTGGGTAACGTTGTGCATTGTCTTTCCACCACATGAGAGGACAAGCCATGAGTGAGATAGAGGTCTCTTTGCGGTACAAGTCAATGTCTGCATCAATCTAACAAGAGTGCTGTGTTCTGCAGTCCCCATGACTTATTTTAGTCGTATTCCCCGACTTAAATTTCACCACAGTCTGGCAGTGCCTGCATACTGTTTTTTTCTTTGTCTGTCACCTTTTCTCCTTTTTCGTATCTTTTAGAAAGAAACCGAAATGCTTCCACACATCTGGTTTAAAACCCGCTTTAAGGTTAATCATTTCCAGCTCTTTTTCTTCCCCGCTACTAGCAGCACACTCCATTTCCGCATTACTGAATACTGTATGTAGTGACAACAGACCGCAAAGGATGATGGTTAGCCTAGGCTGATGGGAATTGTAGTTCCCGCTACCTCCCGTTCGCTTCATTGGCCTAAGCAAACTTTTCTCAGAAATATAGTTTTATTGAGTCATGCGCCTACGGTAATATTGAAAAAAATTACTATTGCGGTATGACGGTATTTACAATATTGTCACATCCCTAATAAAATCTGATTCATATACAAGTAAACATGACTTGTTTATGTAAAAAATGACTTGCTAGTAATTTATGCTAATTATTAAAAAAAAAACACACACACAAATGTTTCAACCATCATATTAAAAATATATTAAAAGCTTTTGAGGAATTTCATTTGTACATCTTAATTGTCATAATTATTTTGTATAGTATTACAATAAATTTAAACATAAATGTATTCACATTGCTTCACTTTTTCTACATTTTTTGTGTTACAACCTTATTCCAAAATTGATTCAGTTTTCTTTTTTACTGCTTTACTGTCATAAAGTTCTCACTGATTTACAAATATCACCATTATAATTTCCCCCTGTGAGTCATTATTTCATGAAATGTAATATGAGCCAAGACCCAAGGCTTTGTGTGTTTTAATATAGTTTGCAGTTTGCATAAATGCAGGCTGTTTTAAATTCCTGGTAACAAAATGAACCAACAGTGAATGGAATTGAAAATACAGTATATAGTATAAATAAGTCATGGTTTACACTACAGTCGTTCTTACATGGCAGGGCGCCATGCCAAAATTCATCCCACCACGGCTACATTACAGCTTCTCATTCAAAACATTTTATTTTTTTAATAGCGGGTAATAATCTCACTAAAACATGTTAAAGGGTAAGTGAATTAAAACAGCACAAACTTTTGTGTAACTATTGTAGTGCTGTGCTTTATTTGTTCAACCATTTAAGGTTACGTGCTGACTGTCTATTACATAAATGCGATCTCGACTTCTAATACTGTGCTCACAACTTTTGTCACTAAAATAACGCCACAGGTATTTGGTAGATCTGTGTAAAAAATTGTCTGCTGCCACAGCTGGAAAAAATTCTAAAGGAAACACTAAGTAGTACATAAATAATTAAATGTGATTTGACTGCATGACTAATTATAACATGTAAAGACAAGGACTGAATTAAAAGAGCAATCATTTTAAAGTTATACAAAAAATAGTCGGTTAAGGCTCTCGAAAAATATAAGTAAAAAATTAAAAGCACTTTATTGACATGGCTATTATTTAAACAAAAAAACAGCAGTGTGCTTTTGTATTTATTTTCTGTTTTCCTTAAATTCCCTTATCCAATGATCACCGGCATATTAATTAACCCTGCACTTTGTTTTGGATTTTGGATTGTCTGCAGAACTGCAGTGTTTCAGTGAAGTTCAGTCAATCACATATTTTAACGTTTTGCAACATATTACCACCACAGCCATATAAATTTTGCAAGTCTAATGTGACTGTGGCTTTATCGTATATGTAAACTTCATTCAGAGAGAAGCTTGAACTCTTTGCTTCTTTTGCAATACATCTGACAGCAGACAAATACAAGCAAGTTTTGGACTGGATTTTTTATTTTTTTTTGCATGGTCTGAACAATTCACGCAGAACTGCCAGTCAGTCATAATCCAAATATATTTTGTTCTCCCTCTTTTTAGGAGTTTAGTGTAGAGATTCCCCGTTGAGGTGGTGTCTCTTCGCGATGCCAAGATGGCACGCCTGCTCCCTCCCACAGGCACCAGTGTGTTCCGCCGCTTCACCCCAGAGTCACTGGTGGAGATCGAGAGGCTCATCCAGGAGAAGAGCACCAGGGAGGAACTAGAGGGAGCCGAGGAGGAACCACAGGCACCGAGCAGCGATCTGGAGGCGGGAAAATGCCTGCCGATGATCTATGGCGACCCCCCCGGGGATCTCCTCAACACCCCTCTGGAAGACATCGACCCCTTTTATAAAACACAGAAAGTCAGTCTTGTGCCCATTTATGTTAGATGAAGTGATCTCTGTTCATATTGTGTTCTCCAGCTATTTTTTAACCTCTTTCTCTTTTGCAGACTTTTATTGTCATAAGCAAGGGAAACACAATCTTCAGGTTCTCTTCTGAACCGGCGATGTTTTGCATCAGTCCTTTTAGTATTGTCAGAAGAGGAGCCATCAAAATTCTTATACATTCATATCCTTTTTGTGCAGTTGTTTCATTGCAATCATTGTATCTGATAACAATCATCATTTAGAGGGCAATTTTGGGTGTGGGCTGGTTACCCAAAGGTTGCTGGTTCAGTTTCTGGTCCTGGTGACCACTCCTCCTGGTGTGTGTGTGGTCACACTCACTCAAAATGTGTGTGCATGGATGGATTAAAAACAGAGGACTAATTGCAATTTTTGGGTAAAAACCAAACACTCTTTGAAATAAAGGTACAAAATCTGTCACAGGGCGGTACCATTTTAAAAGGTATATTTTTGTTCTTAACAGATCCTTAAAGGTACATATTAATACCTAAAAAGTACATATGTACCTCATAAGGGTACAAAAATGCACCTTAAAGGTACAAAAAGTGGTCCCTAAACTTACTAACGTACACATGTACAGTACAAAAGTGTACCTTTTGAAAAGGTGCCACCCCAGTAACAGATTTTGTACCTTTATTTCTGAGAGTGTACTTGGCAAGGCTCAGTTCACTTCACTCACTCACTCATTATTGAGTCTTTAGATGTTTGCAATATTTACCTTGACTGTACTTCACGTTATTTAGCATGTTCATCATGATCACCATCCTGTCCAATTGCGTGTTCATGACGATGAGTAACCCTCCAGCCTGGAGTAAAACTGTCGAGTAAGAGCTGCTTTGTGTCTCATTTTTGTTGACTCTATTGAGTAATAACAAATAATTTTTTTAAAGTATCATTTTTTAAAAGGTAAAATAATTTTTGAAGGAAAAAAAAGAAAATATCTGTTTAAATTGACAATATATATTTTTGTTCTGATTTATTTATTTATCTGTATTTTAAATATATACTTCTCTACATTCTAGAAAAATGCTGTGAAGATGTTTGAGTTGTCATAACTGAATCATACTGTATATTTAAAAGTATAGTTCAACTGAAAATTAAAATTTAATCAGTATTTACCTCAAGTGGTTACAAACCTTTAGTTTCTTTCTTTTGATGAAAACTAAAGAAGATGTTTGAAGAATGTAATCACTAAATATGGAAGTCAATGGTTACAGGTTTTCAGCAAATTCAGTAATGTTAACAGAATTTTCATTTTTGGGTGAACTATCCCTTTAATATTAATACTATAATCGTGACTGTGCAGCATCTTTTTATTGACAGTTCATTTGTTCTAAATGTGATGCTAATTTCTTTCATATATTTGTTGATGTGTTATTGCAGGTATGTTTTTACTGGTATATATACCTTTGAAGCGACTGTCAAAGTTTTATCCCGAGGCTTCTGCATTGGACCTTTTACATTCCTCCGTGATCCATGGAACTGGCTTGATTTCATGGTGATCAGCATGGCGTGAGTAAACAAATCATGAGCTGCTACTACAAAGCTGAGGTTCATTGATCTAGTTTTTTTTTTTTTGCAATGTTCACACTAGCGATACTGTCTACATGCTTAGTATCATTCAGACACCTTCTCAGTGACTGTCAGCTAATGCTGCCATTTGGCCGCAGTGGTTGACAGATCTATTAAATATAACATTAAAAATCAATCAGTTTCTCCTGCCAAGAACATCTAACACATAGATACACTTATAGGATTAATAACTAGATATTTTACGCTTTTAAAGCGTTATAACTTTGTATTATGCAATGCAAAATTAGAGAAATGCATTAAACCCTATTTTCTATGCATTTGTAATGGGTACTAAACTTCTAAAGCTTGTAAAAGCATGCAACAATACTGTAAAAGTATTTTAAAAGTGGTGCATACATCATGTGTTCTGTTTCTTACCATTTCTCAATGCATAATAGTGTTGTCAGCCATTTCACTGATTGTTTGTGGTTTGCAGGTACGTCACAGAGTTTGTAGACCTTGGCAATGTGTCAGCACTGAGGACATTTCGTGTGCTTCGAGCTCTCAAAACAATCACAGTTATTCCTGGTATGTAGTAATTGTACGTCATGCTGTGTTTTTTTAAAAAACATAAAATCATAAACCACACTAAAACATCCAATGATGTTTTTTTCTATGTCTTTGCATGCAAATTCATAATTATTAGAATCGAGTTTTTGGAATAGAAGTTTGCAATTAACTGTTTTTTGTTTTTTTTTTCAAATCTTTTTCCTCAGGTTTGAAAACCATTGTTGGGGCTTTGATTCAATCTGTCAAGAAGATGATAGACGTCATGATTTTGACCATCTTTGCACTGGCTGTATTTGCCCTCATTGGACTACAGCTGTTCATGGGAAATCTGCGCCAAAAGTGCATCCGTTGGCCCATTCTCAACAGCACCATCTTTGACGTCTACAACTCCAACATGGTCAATGACACCACCCTCAACGTTACCGATACTTTCGATTTCAAAGCTTACATAAGCAATGAAGGTGAAGTCAGGTCAAGGTTATTAAATATTTCCAACTTTTACTCATGACATTACATACAGTAGCACTGCGGTTAATATTTTAATTAAACTATAATAATAATAATAATAATAATAATAATAATAATAATAATAATAATAGTATAGTAATAATATAATAATTTTCAACTATCGGGCCAAATGTTTTAATTTGTACTTTTCCATTTCATGCTCTGTCAGTCACTGCGGATATGGTTTCATTTTCCACAATGCTGCTGATAATGGAGCTCTCTGGAATGTACTGTACTACAAATGCATAAGTCGATGAATTCAATGTAAAAGTCAGATATTTCTAGGTTTTTTATTTTGGACTTCTTTTATCTTTTTATTTACTTCGTTAAATAATAGAAATATACAATAGTGTTTTTCTACTTACTCTCTCCACTAGCACAGTTCAGCATGGTTGTCTAACGATGTCTAAAATTTCGGGCTGAGAACGTTTTTTGTTCATGGATCATGATATATTGTAACTTGTTATGCTTTGCAGAAAACCAATACTTTCTGGAAGGAAGTTTAGATGCTTTACTATGTGGCAACAGTTCTGATGCTGGGTACGTTTGGACAGTTGGGTTGAAAAATTCCTATTAAGCAGTAATTAATATCACTTGTAATTAATTGTATGTCTATGAAATGATATTTTCAAATAGCAAATTGTAAAAACAATAAATGCAGCCGTGGTTTATCTTTTTGAAGAGAATCAGATCAATGGCACTTATTCTGGATGTTTTCATAGGAGATGTCCAGAAGGATACACGTGTATGAAAGCTGGTCGAAACCCAAACTATGGCTATACAAGCTATGACAACTTTGGATGGGCCTTTCTCGCCCTCTTCAGACTCATGACCCAGGACTTTTGGGAGAATCTTTTCCAGCTGGTCTGTTAACAAGTTATTTTTACCATGTACATTTGTTGAAAAGGTATAAGTTCATCAAATCCATCCCCATCTTGTTTAGACCCTTCGTGCTGCTGGGAAGACTTACATGATCTTCTTCGTGGTGGTCATCTTCCTGGGCTCTTTCTACCTCATCAATCTGATCTTGGCTGTGGTTGCAATGGCATACGACGAGCAGAATGAGGCCACATTGGCCGAGGCTCGTGACAAAGAAGAGGAGTTTCAAAGATTACTTGAGCAGCTCAAGAACCAAGAGGTCAGGTGACTACCATATGATTTTGCATTAAATACAGATCATTTATTACAAATGGAGCACTCAGTCCGCAGATTAACACTGTAAAAAGTGAGTTAGTTGACTTTACTTAAAAAAAGAGAGTAAACTCATTGACTTATAATTATTAAGCATACAAACTATGTGCATAATTATAAAAGTTAAGTTAAATCAATGGGTTTAATGACTTTTTAAAGTAAAATCAACTTGTTGCTTTTAGGGCAACACGTTTACTCACTTTTTTTTTTAAGTAACTAATTCTTTTTTACAGTGCAGTTGCTAAAACCCATTATCCATTGTTTTATATTCATACACCTTACACTAATATGTTTTTGTGTGTGTGTATGTGATTCATTTCTGTCTTAAATTACAGACAGGCAGTAAAGCATCTTTGGCCAGCCAGAAAACACAAAGTCGAGGGTCAAACCGGACAGGTTCCCTGCACGATCTTGCAGATGAAGATGTCATAAAGGACTGTAATGGCCGAATAGTACCTCGCCTTATTGTCAACAGAGTTTCCTCTAACAAAGAGGTGATGTACAGTGTTTTAACATTATCATTAATATCAGAGGAGATATTTACATTTAGTAATATAGCAGACGCTTTTGAGTAATTGAATCATTATTGTATATTTATTGCATAACTATTATACTCTCAACACCGTATACTAATACTAGGGTTCCTTATTTTGTTTTCTAGATGTTTTTATAAATAAAATGTTTTTATTTTGTCACAATATACTTTTACATCACCTTATTTCTCAGATTATTATAAATATAATTAGTGAATGCCAGTATGACTGATGTCATGCACCATGCCAGTCAGTTGCTTATTCAACTAGTCATTAGTCTAGCATCTCTTTTGCATTGTCACCATCGCACTGTGGTGCTAAAACTGCAGTGTAAATTGATCCAGTGATAGAATGTTATTGCAAACAATTGGTTGCTAAGGATGTTTATCAACCAACATCCAATCACGTGTCTCAAATTTACATGCATTAGACAATTATGAAATCATTGAACAAGGTATATGAACAGTAGTTTTAGCATTTGATGGGCAAGATACAGATACATGTTTAAAAGCATGATCATTTTGTCACAATATACTTTTTCGCATCACCCTTTTTCTCAGATAATTTCAAAATCTTAATTCAAAAAGTATTGTTTTGTTTACATGAAGTAATTTGAACTACAAACTAGAACATTGCTGTAATTGCATCACTATTAAAAAAACTGGCAAGAAAGCTTTACCATATTTAAACATGCTTACTATTTTATGTATCTTTCAGTTATCAGCAGAAGAGGACCAGAAGTCTCTGAGTTCAAAACACAGCATGCAGTACTTGGACCAGCCCAAACTCTCCAAGAGAACAGCTAGTGCTCTCAGTGTACTCACTGCAACTATGGAGGGTAACCTGGCTTAAAGAGTTACTGGCTTATATTCAATTCATTTTATATCTCATTAAGTAGCTTTGACACCTACCGTAGGAGCATATTTAGAAGCATTCTTAATAGGGATGCACAATAGTTTTGGAAAGCCCTTGAAATGAAAACATAGTATCAGACCGATATAAAAATAGTGCATTGACTAACTTTTTTGTCCTTTTTATAAAGAAATAACATGCACCCTTTGTTATGGTACTCTTGAACAATGACTGTTATGAATTGCATTAAATTGAGTTTAATTGAATTGAATTGAATTGAATTGAATTGAATTGAATTGAACTGAATTGAATTTAACATGCCAAGTAGCCAGAAACAATTCTGAAACCCAGTTCCAGTAGTGGAAATGTAAATTAAATACACTGGGCTTATAGAGACAATTTTACACACTCAAAGTTGTTCTTGAGAGTGCAGTTTTCTATTTGTGTTCAACGATCTGGCTGAACAGCTTGATGCTGTCTATTGTCTGAAGCTCGAGACAAACTAAGCAAAGGTCAGAGGTGAACAACCCGCTAACTTCATCTTAGTGGTGATAATCATTGGGCTATTTCAGAGCTATGGACTGCTTAGGGACTGGCAGAATTTATTGCTGGCTCTTCTCTGGTGTTTATTCATTTCTGTCATTGGGTAAACATGCCCAGGGCTACTTATTTAGGAAAATCTAATATGTGCATTGGCATTCGTTTGGCTGTGTGTAAAAGGAAAGCTATGGGGCAGTAAGCATGGTTATGAAACCGGGTAAAACAAAATCCCCCCAAAAAAGAAAAGCAGTGTAAAATTACATCCGTGATTCTCTTTTAGAAGGGGGCATGGCGGCTCAGTGGTTAGCACTGTAGCCTCAGAGCAAGAAGGTCACTGGTTCGTGTCCCGGCTGTGTCAGTTGGCATTTCTGTGTGAAATTTGCATGTTCTCCCTGTGTTTCTCTCTGAGGTTTCCCTCAAAGTCCAAAGACATGTGCTATAAATGAATTGAATAAACTAAGATCACAGTGTATGAGTGTGTGAATGTAAGAGTTTTCCAGTACTGGGTTGTGGCTGAAAGGGCATCAGCTGTGTAAAACATGCCTGAATAGTTGGCAGTTTATTCTGCTGTGGCGACTTCTGAATAATCAGAAACTAAGCTGAAGGAAAATGGATGGATGGATTTTCTTCTAGTTTGCTTTTAAAAATGAGTTGGTTTTAGGGAAAGAGGGTGGGTGACTCAGTCGATAGCAAGCTCTAATACTCACGACAAGCCGTCTGGCTTTTTATGGGCATGTGCAAGACGGACATGTAAAAAGGGCACATACAATGAGCAAACTTAGCCCAGTAACGTATTTGAGATTTGCAGAAAAATACACAGAGTGTCCTCTTGGGGATTTGTGAAAGTTCAGTTCTAAAAATGTAGCCCTGGACACACAACTATAATGAGCTTGGGCTGCAACAATGATATTGCTGATTTTCAATCTCTCTTTGTCTCTCTAGGGTTGGAGGATGCCCAGAGGCCTTGTCCCCCTGGCTGGTATAAGTTTGCGGATATGTTCCTTAAATGGGACTGCTGCGCTCCCTGGATCTTGTTTAAGAAGTGGGTTCATTTTGTAGTGATGGACCCATTCGTTGACCTGGGTATCACCATCTGCATTGTGCTCAATACACTGTTCATGGCCATGGAGCATTACCCTATGAGTCCACATTTTGAACATGTCCTCTCAGTGGGCAACTTGGTTAGTGTTGCATCAGTTCTTTGATTACTGTGCATTGTTGATATTGTAAATCATATATAGCATATTTCTTATTGGCTAGAGCTTGTTTTGGATGCTGTTGCATTAAATGTTTTCTATGGATTAAATATTTTCCTTCCACCAATCTTTTCTAACTTAAAGGAATAGTTCACTCAAAAATTAAATTGACCCCAGAATTTACTCATCTTCAAGCCATCTTTGGTGTGAATGATTTCAGATGAACACAGTTTAAAATTTTATACATCAAATGGCCTTCTAACAAACAAATCATTAAACAAAACCCTGTGCTGCCAGGGGGTTAACAACTCTTATGAAGTGGATTGATGTGTTTTTTAAACAATATATATTTAACATAGTTGAATTATGGACTTAAATCACTGACAAATGCTAATTCTAGACAACATCTTGAACTCATCTGATCGCTGAGTCGATGTATGATGCATGAAGTACAGGGAGACACATTCATAGCTCAAAACCCTGAGGGTGAGCAAATTATGGGATAGTTTTTAATTTGGGGTGAAATATTCCTTTATAAAGTACATTCTACTTGCATTTTTTTCAAGTAAAGAAACAAGGACACCAACAAGGTCTTTGAAATGTTTTTTTTTTAAGTTTAAATTGATGATTTATGTTCCCATTCTCACAGAACATTAAACTTTATTCTTCAAGGTGTTCACAGGAATCTTCACAGCTGAAATGGTGTTCAAGCTTATAGCTATGGACCCTTACTACTACTTCCAGGTGGGCTGGAACATTTTTGACAGCATCATTGTCACACTCAGCCTGGTGGAGTTGGGACTGGCCAACGTTCAGGGATTGTCCGTTCTAAGGTCCTTTCGTTTGGTAAGTCTGAAACTCAAACTCTCATTATCTTTTTATGGTTTGTTATTGGTATTTGTTAAACTGCAACATTGCAGAAGATACCCTACAAAAAGGGTTATGTGGTTTTACTTTGCATTCAATTTTGTTTTTCACTCTATATGTTTTTGCGTCCATCTCTGATGTGCTGGAAGTAGCTACGTGTCTTCAAACTGGCTAAATCTTGGCCCACCCTTAACATGCTGATCAAGATCATCGGCAACTCAGTGGGTGCTCTAGGGAACCTAACACTTGTTCTGGCCATCATTGTCTTCATCTTTGCCGTGGTGGGCATGCAGCTTTTTGGAAAAAGCTACAAGGACTGCGTTTGTAAGATCTCTGAGGATTGCGAGCTGCCCCGCTGGCACATGAACGACTTCTTCCACTCATTCCTCATCGTCTTTCGGATCTTATGTGGAGAGTGGATTGAGACTATGTGGGACTGCATGGAGGTGGCAGGAGCTAGCATGTGTTTGATAGTCTTCATGATGGTCATGGTCATCGGAAACCTTGTGGTAAGTGAAGTAGAAGTTGCACAAACACAATAAAAGTCAAACATTCTGACTGAAATGGAGTCTCCAATGGGAGTATTACTGAAATCTTGCTATCTTAGGTCGTAAGATATGATACAGTAAAAATAGATTTTTTTCAATTCGTATTAGAGAAGCAAATCTTAGCCAGATTTGTGATTCTTATCTTATCAATTCATATCCTATCTGTATTTTGGAGATCTTAAATTGTGTCATCAAGTTCAACAATCCACTATGCAATCGGTGCTTTTGAAAACACTATTGATTGAGTTTAGGGAAGGAGGAGGGTGGGTCAGTCGATCGGTCAGTTAGTCAGTCATTAAGTCAGTCAAACAGTCAGTCGACAGTGGCTTCTGGTGGATTTACATGAGAACAGCAGGCGTAAATGACACTCCCGAGGGAAATTTGAGATCTCTAAAAGCGCACACTGCACTGGATTTGCAAAAAAAAAAAAAAAAAGTAGCTCCTGGGAAATATTTGGTGCTCTCCAGAAATGTATATAGAGGTACATTTTCAGAATGAGCCTGGGTTGTGAAGAAAACCAGCTAAAAACAAACAAACATTAAATAAGCTTTAATGACTTGCACTATAACTGGTTTGTTGATCTCTGTAATGCACATTGTCAGAGAGCTCCACAACTCCTTCTACCTTTAAACATCTTTGTTTTTCATTTTCGATCATAAGTAATCCTATTGTCAAGTTAAAGCAGGTCACACACCAGATGTGCCGCTCATCGTCGTGACCTGGCGCGCACACGACAGTTTGAAGTATCGCACCACAGACGCGCACATTCGCATGATATTTAAAGTGAAACTATTCAGATGGCGCTCTGTGGCGCGGCAGAAATATAAACAGTATCCAGAGTCATGGCTGGGCTCCGGGGACAACCACCAACTTGCGGCATCGGTGTGTGTACCTCGATAGAAACCTATGTTTAGAATTCTAAAATGCATGGCGCTGTGTGGCGCGACACTGAAATGACCATGTTTACTAACAGATAAGATTTTAAAGTTAGGGTCTTTCTGTAATTCACCCCCTGGTTCAGTGAGTCAGTTGTGTTGCGCAGGTCCGATATGCAATTTTCTTTCACACTCAAATGCATCACTGTTATTGTTAGACATCTGCTGTCACTGCTAAGCTGTTAATCTTTATAACTGTTACACTGAAGCTGTACTGATCTGAAGTTTTAGTATAGCAACCAAGCCAACCACAGAGGATTTTCAGCACAGCTTATGGCAGGCCGGCTGTTGTTGACATTCAGGTCTGATTTCTCTGTATAACCAGGTGGTAATTGGTCATAACATTTAAAAATTAATACGCAAGAAGAAGTTCAACACAACTTCACCCTCACTTTGAACATCACACTCACTTCTTATAAAATTTTTACTGGCATTTAAGGACCAGAAAAGCTTGCTTCTGCAGAATCTCTTTTTTGTGTGTTAAAAACTATAATCAGGATTTAACTAAAGACATGCTGTGCACTTCTTTTCCTCACATTATATTTCCAGCCACACAAGTTTGAGATGCAGTTTGCAAATGTTCGTTGGAACTGTGGATTCAGCAAATACAAAATCTATTTTGGTAAAGATAAAACTAATGAAAAGATGGTTAACATTGAGCACTAATGTTAAGTAAATGTGACCCAAAGTGTGGTACATTTTAATATTTATATGCTATCATGCAATGTTTCCCTGTGCTGGATTGTGTCTGGAAGGGCATCAACTGCATAAAACATATTTCAGAGAAATTAGTGGTTCATTACTCTGTGGCGAGCCCTGATGAATAAGAAACTAAATCATAGGATAGTGAGTGTGATGGTGTCATTCAATGTCCTAGAGTAGAGCAATAAAATACATTTTGTAGAAAATGCTATCAAATGTCACAAGTAAGAAGCTAACTTAGGTCAGCATGGTGGCGCAGTGGGTAGCACAATCGCCTTACAGCAAGAAGGTCGCAAGAAGGGTCAGTTGGCATTTCTGTGTGGAATATGAATGTTCTCCCCGTGTTTGCGTGAGTTTCCACCAGTAGCTTCGGTTTCCCCCACAAGTCCAAATACATGTGGTATAGGTAAATTGGGTAGGCTAAATTGTCTGTGGTGTGTGTGTGTGTGTGAATGAATGTGTATGGATGTTTTGCAGTGATGGGTTGCAGCTGGAAGGGCATCCGCTGCATTAAACATGTGCTGGATAAGTTTGGGCGATGCAGTGGCGCAGTAGGTATTGCTATTACCATACAGCAAGAAGGTCGCTGGTTCAAGCCTCAGCCGGGTCAATTGGAGTTTCTGTGTAGAGTTTGCATGTTCTCCCCGCTTACTCGTGGGTTTTCTCTGGGTGCTCCGGTCTCCCCCACAGTCCAAAGACATGCAGTACAGGTGAATTGGGTAGGTTAAATTGTCCGTAGTGTATGTGTGAATGAGTGTGTATGTTTCCCAGAGATGGGTTGCAGCTGGAAGGACATCCGCTGCATAAAACGTATGCTGGATAATTTGACGGTTCTTTCTGCTGTGGCGATCGCAATTTACCAAAGGGACTAAGCTGAAAAGAAAATGAATGAATGAATGAATGAATAAGTTGACAGTTCGTTCCGCTGTGGTGACCCTAGATCAATATAGTTTTGAACTATATATAGCTAATTTAAGCTGTTTGGTTGCTTGTATCATTGCAAAACCTAAATTAAATGAAACACTTTAGCATGGGGGCCAATTGCTCATTGGCTTGCATATTGGCTGTTTGTATAAAGCACAAATAAATGCTTAATTCCGCTTTATGTAATGCTATTCCAGACCCATACCAAAACAGCTACAACAGCTTCCTCTAACTAACTTTTAACAAGATATAATTTAGGTTATTATTAATAGTGAATGTGTGTTTTTACATTCTAAAGTCCTCCCAAACTGTATTGTTATAAATATATTTAACTGTGTATTGCGAAAATCATCATACAAATACATTGTGCTTAACTTTCTACATGAAAACTAGCTTTCTTTTACGTGTTGTTGCAAAACAAGGAGATCCAGATGAGCAGCTCTGCACATGATTACCATATTAGAGCTTCTAACTGAGTGCACTTCCTCTCAGGTTATACATAGAGAGAAAAGGAAATGGTCTGTTTTAGCGTGCTAACAAAAGCATCATTACTCAACATGGCCCACATACAACAAGCATCTTCACCCACACATACAAACACAGACCCACACACACTTCATGTGGTTACCCTCTCCTGAGGGTAAAATTAAAAATAAGTGTTACTTTGTTGTTTGTGTCAAAGGGTATGCAACAAATTTTAACATATTTCGGCAAAGGTTTGTTTCTACAGATGTATTTGTGTCCCCTTTAACTGTATACCAAACAGGGTTTTTTTTTTTTAACTCACAACTTAATTTGTTAAGATGTGTCTATCTCTTACAATTTTTACCTAAATATGTAAATATGACACATTTTTCTTTGTTTACCCCAAAAGGATCTGATCCTGATCACCCCTAAAATTAAAATCCTAAAATCGCCCCTGTAAAACAGTATTTCACATTTGTCTTAATTGTGCCGCTACTGAACGACACTATACCGTATATAACACTAAAAACAATTAGGCAAAGACTACTCACAAATCCCGTAACAATGTGCGATTTAGAAGGGTAACTAGTATATAATAGCAACAACAGAAGACAGACTCCTAATAGTTTGGTTTAAAACAAGCATGCACGAATGTGACAATTAAAATAATTGCTGATTGATGTTTAAAGGAACCTATAAAATGTAAAGTAATAAGCCAGTAAAGAAAGTAAGCTAAAAAGCTGTCTTTCCATGTATGCACAAGCCCTTTTGAGTTAACTTAAATACAGGTAACTGATGTGAAAAAAAAAAAAAAAAAAAAAAAAAAATATATATATATATATATATATATATATATATATATATATATATATATATATATATATATATATATATATATTTCCAATGAATTGAAGAAACATTGACTTTTGTTGTTTCTTTGCCTACTTTCATTTAAAATTTGTGTCTGGTGTAATAGTACACCACCTCTTTTTCTAGGACTACACCACTGATTCCCAGTGATTAGCACTGTCACCTCACAGCAAGAAGGTCACTGGTTCGAGTCTAGGCTGGGTCAGCTGGCATTTCTGTAAGGAGTTTGCATGTTCTCCCTGTGTGGGCGTGGGTTTCCTCCTGGTTCTCCGGTTTCTTCCACAGTCCAAAGACATGTGCCATAGGTGAACTGAATAAACTTAATTGTCCATAGTGTGTGAATGAGAGAGTAAATGTGTGTGTGTGAATGAGAGTGTATGGATGCTTCTCAGTGCTAGGTTGTGACTTGAAGGGCATCTGCTTTGTTGGCGGTTCATTCTGCTGTGGCGACCCCTGATGAATAAAGGGATCAGACTGAAGGAAAATTAATGAATGAATTTGGATTTCATGTGGACGTTTAATGGAGTGGCCTGAAGCAAACTAGACACAAAAAAACACACACCACATGGAGAGCAAGGAAACAGCATTGGCACTGACATGAGTTGCGTTTGCACTCTAAGTTTAGTTGGCTGGATGAAAAAAAAACTAGGCTAGAGGAGTAGAGGAGTGTAACATGGGAAACCAAATATCAGTGGCCTCATTTGGCGTGTATCTCAGAGGTGCAATGTGAAAATTACAGCACCTGCTTCTGCCTGTGTGTTTCTCAAGAAGCTCGATACATTTCATACATTAGGCTGATACATTGTCTGCATATTTTGCACTAGATTGTGATTGGGTGCCAAATAATGTGTGCTCAGAATTAATATAGTATCATGACACTATTATGATTAATATAGTATTGCGAAACTTGACTAAGGAGGATTAATTGGTAATGATGTATTCTTGTTTTGGCCTGCAGCTTTAAATACCCTCATATACCCTGACAAATTAATATCCACATCAGCAAAAAAGAAATGATAAAACTTAATTCTCTTGCAGCATTTTTCCTTGGAGTTCAGTCATTTTATCTTCAGAAATATATCATACCGTTTCTCAATTTGCATAATATAACATGTTAACAGTGCTTTGAACAATATAAGGCTTTATTAAATTATTAGTACATTTTCAATGCCTTTTGCAAGCAGGTCTGACATGGCTGCTGTAACTGTGCGCTATGTCTAGTGTGCTTTGATCCTAAAGATAGCATCCCTGTCCAAGGCTTCCAGACAACATTGCATATTTATTGAAACTTCATTACGACAGAGCCTACCTAAACTTGATACTGTCTATGTAGAACCTGAAAACCAATTATTTGTAAAACTAGCTTTAATTACACTTGAATGTTATTAGCCAAGATTATATTTAAATATTGGACCAATCTGAATACGTTTAATCCGTACAGCAAAGATTTCAGTAGCGTACTCTATTTTAAATGTAACACTGATGCAGCATTCTGGTGAATTACTGATTCTGATTCCTCACATATTTCCCTGATTTCCTTACATAAATGTTCATTTAAATTGTGGAAATACTTTTAGTTTTATTTCTTCTGCAGTTTATATACTACTTCATGCAGTTACTTTGTGATCATTGAAAACAATGTGCATATTTAGTTTAAAAATGTTTTTTTCTTGATTTATTATAAAATATTAAGAACATTTCACTTATAAAAATCCAAAGATAAATTTCACTCCGTTTTAACCAAGCCCGTTCAGTTGTTAGGCTTGACTTCAATAAATAATTAAACTAATAAAACCGAGGAAATAAAGCGTCGTGTTTATTTTAAGAGATTAAGACACCTGCATTAGAAATGTCAACAATGGCGTTCCACTAATAATACTAAAATCATCATCTGTGAGGGCAATTCGTTTTTCATTTTTACATGATTTATTTAAATCTTTTTTTGTTTAAAAAAAGCCTAAAAAACCTACTTAAAATAGTGCATGTATTATTATTATAAGGGATTCCAATTCCAATTAGTTGCCTATATCTGTTTTTTTTACCTGTCTGTTTACACGTTCTTTTAATTGTGACCCATACCAAATTCAGGTGTTTACCATTGCCATACAATTTACGTCGTCGCGCATGTGTAAAAGTGGGTTCTAGCAGCTGCACCATACTAGCACATGGAAATTGTCTGGCTTTTAGCTCGAAGTTCGCAAACTTTAAAAGGATTTTGAGAAGGAGGATTTTGATTTTGACCTCTTTCCTCCTCCAGGTTTCATCTGTTTTTGTTGTTTGCCACGTCAGCATCTCCACACACGCTCTTCCTTCTAACGTCATTAAACCGCGAAGAAGTGGAATGGAAGGGAATGCCTCAATAAATCTGATCTGCCTGTTTTCATGATAGTCAAATTGTCACATATGTGATATATAGCTCATTTATTTCCACATATGAAGGAGACTTGAAACTGATCTCTGAATATCCAAATGCTTGCATTTTTTTTCAAAGAACAAATCCGATCTGTGTCACATATAAGCAAAAAATTGGAATTGGGTCACATTTAACTTGCAGTGTAAACATGTCTCTTACAGCCATTTGGTGTAAACATGTCATGGTCAGAAGCAGCTTTACAGAAAATAGATAAAACAAATAAAAAAAATGATAAGAAAAATGACAAACAATACAATTTGGAAATACTGCAAATGATGGAAGAAGAATTTAACATGTCTCAATCAAGGAAAAGATTAACAGCGCATATTTGATGCATAAAAAGTTCAAATGTGCACGTATAAATCTATTACTTCTTTTGCTATAAGACAACAGGCCTATAAACTACAGTTTATTGCAATAAGTTACAAGAAGTTATATTATTAAATGTTCATGTTAAAAATATTTATATGTTTTATTTATGCAATATTCCTAGCCAGGTTTTAGTGAACTTGCAACATTGTCAAAAACACAGAAGATCTTTCAGTTCCTATATGTAAAAAGGCATCAATACATGCAGGGTCATTCAAATATTTGCTCATTTCAAACTAACACAAACACTTGCGATCAATTCATGAGACTGACCAGATCAGCGAGTACCGATAGATTCATTAAATGTGATTATTGGCCGATACCAATTTCTGGCCGACCATTTGGAGCATCTCTATTTATGTCCATTGTTTTTTTGAGTAGATAGCACATGGTTTATCAACCCCTTGATCTTGATATTGTTTTTGCTAGACTCACACTCCAACACTTGAGTTAAAGAAATGTTTTTTATGTCTTAAATGTGTTTATCTTCTTAACCTCCTTACCTTTGTTTTTCCAGGTGCTGAATCTGTTTCTGGCCCTGCTGCTTAGCTCCTTCAGTGGAGATAACCTGTCTGGAGGTGATGATGATGGAGAGATGAACAACCTTCAGATTGCCATTGGCCGCATCACCAGGGGTATCGATTGGGTTAAAGCCTTAGTTGCCAGTATGGTGCAACGGATTCTGGGAAAGAAACCTGATAATACCAAAGAGGAAGGGGAGGGAGACATAGAACTGTACGCTTTAAATCACCTTGATGAAGGAAAAATGGCAGATGGTTTGACCAACTGTTTGTCTCCAACATTGACTGTACCTATTGCTCGTTGTGAGTCTGATGTGGAGGAAGATGAGGACTCTGAATCTTCTGATGAGGAAGACGCAAAGGTAAGGCAGTCCAGTTTAACTTTATCAGTATCTAGAATTAGTGGCGTCAGAAGTTTCTAAAGTATTTTCTTCTTCAAGCATGAGACGATGAGACTATAAGATGTATACTTCACATAACATTAGATACTTTGTAGTAATGTTATAAAGTTCATTCGTGCCTGATACCTTTTCCTGTAATGTTAGTTCTTGAGAACTTTAATGAGGAAAATAACTACAATCCCTTGAAGCATTGACTGAATTGGTGAAGAAAAACTGAATAGACGAAGAAAAGCAAAACAATTATAGTTGTGTCCATAGATTGAATACAGTACAAATACAATACACAATTTAATTTACTGCCTCAGAGCTAAAAATTGGTTTCCATATGAAGAAAATTAAGGATTTTTTACTTCCAGAACCCAACAGTTGCACTCAATACTGTGCTGTGTACCACTATTTTGAAAAATATTATGAAAGCTAAAAACCGTTAAGTATGCTAGATAAACATAGAAATGATTTTGTGCATCATATGCGCTGTTGACCATTTTAACAGCAGAAAGAAAAACATAAAGTTTGGAGACTCTGAAGAAATATATCCTTTAAACGGTGTATAAACAATTCTAAAACATACAGGAGGGTTAAAATGGTGATCTAATTTTAATGACAAGGCATTTTCAAAGTTGTGGCATCCAAGAATAATCCTGTAATGCAAGAAGTAGGTCATTTTTAATTTTGTATACATGAATATGCTGGGCGAAGCAGTGTTGCAGTAGGTAGTGCTGTCGCCTCACAGCAAGAAGGTCGCTGAGTCGCTGGTTCGAGCCTCGGCTCAGTTGGCGTTTCTGTGTGGAGTTTGCATGTTCTCCCTGCATTCGCGTGGGTTTCCTCCAGGTGCTCCGGTGTCCCCCACAGTCCAAAGACATGCGGTACAGGTGAATTGGGTAGACTAAATTGTACGTAGTGTATGAATGTGTGTGTGAATGTTTCATAAAGATGGGTTGCAGCTAGAAGGGCATCCGCTGTGTAAAAACTTGCTGGATAAGTTGGCGGTTCATTCCGCTGTGGTGACCCCGGATTAATAAAGGGACTAAGCCGACAAGAAAATGAATGAGTGAATGACTATGCTGCCTTCATTAAGTTTAATCATTAATCTCTCAAGATGATTAACAAGATTAATCAAACGTTTTTTTTATTAAATATGTACATTTTGTCTTTCACCTTTTTGTTCTCTCCTCTTTTTTGTGCTGTGTGCTACACAGGCCACTCTTAATGATGGTGACTCTTCGGTTTGTAGCACAGTGGACTACCAGCCTCCAGAACCTGAGCCTGAACCTGAAGAGGTAGAAGAAGAGGAACCAGAACCTGAAGAACCAGAGGCCTGTTTCACAGAGGGTTTGCATTCATTTTCCTTCATTTTTGACCATACTGCACTCATCGTATATCAAGGCCATAAATGTCATTTATTATATGTTTATTAATGGGTCTCTCTTTAAACTTAGGCTGTATTAGGCGATGTGCATGTTTGAGTGTTGACATCACAGAAGGATGGGGTAAAAAATGGTGGAACCTCAGAAGGACATGCTTCACCATCGTTGAGCATGATTACTTTGAGACCTTCATCATCTTTATGATCCTCCTTAGCAGTGGAGCACTGGTGTGTTTTTCAATTAGAATAAAAGAATAATCTTATGTAAATGGGAACTTTTCCTAACTTGACGTATCAATCTTTTCTCTTTGCCAGGCTTTTGAGGATATCAACATTGAGAGGCGCAGAGTGATCAAGACCATTCTGGAGTATGCTGATAAAGTCTTTACATATATTTTTATAGTGGAGATGTTACTGAAGTGGGTGGCATATGGCTTCAAGACCTACTTCACTAATGCATGGTGCTGGCTGGACTTCCTCATTGTGGATGTGAGTTACCTTTTTGTGCCAAATACCTCCATTTTATACAATATCAAAAAATACAAACTGTCAACGTTAATGATTTGTAAACTTTTTATTTTATTTTAGGTGTCTCTGGTCAGTTTAACGGCTAATTTAATGGGCTACTCTGAGCTGGGGGCAATCAAATCTCTCAGGACACTTAGAGCTCTTCGTCCACTTCGAGCCCTATCCAGATTTGAAGGAATGAGGGTAAGGAATGAATCTCTCTTCACTTGTGTATGTTTATTTGTGTTTGATTCTTTAGTTGCTAATTAAAGTGCTGGAATTGTCTTTAATATGATGTGTGACCATATTGATTTTACTATTTATTTTTAATAGCATTTGACAATGATAACATTTTTAGTTTATGTAGCATTTGTTATAGGGATAGTTCACCCAAAAATATAAGGTTACTCTTCGTCAAGTGGTTCCAAACCTTTATGAGTTTCTTTCTTATTCTTTCTTGTTTCTTTGTTATTTTCTGAACACAAAATAATATATTTTGAAAAAAAATGTTAAATATTGACATCTACTTAGGGGAGGGAAAATACTATGGAAGTCAATGGCAAGCAGTTTCAGAAATTCTTCAGTATATCGTATTTTGTTTTCTTTGTCAGAAGAAAAAAAAGTCCAACAAGTTTTTGATAGGTGAAGGATGAGTAAATCATGGCAAAATCTTTATTTTGTGCAAAAGCACAAAAAAGGCTTGTGCTTGCTTAAACAGGTTTTAATGTTGTCAATTAAATAGGTGTTGGTAATGACAGCATTACTGGGAAGAGGGATTGTCTATAACATGATATGATGTTAATCTTAGCATATTGCTTTTAAAAGGATGCCTACTGAGCAATTTGTAAAGTTATCAAAAGTCAAAAGGAAAAAGTGGCATGTAGAATTTTCTTAATTTTGACACTGGTTTGCAAGTTAAATACAGAAAATTTAAAATTCTTTATTAATGTATAAACATATTTAAATAATAGATAATTATGTAGAAATTAGGCAAATCAAGAAAGATTAGGTTAAAGGTACAGTAAGAGATTTCTAGTTTAAAGCTATGAAACATTTTGAGTGTATGAGGGCATTACGTTTTTGAATCTGTTGTGTGTGGGCCAGACAGAATCTGAGGACCTTTTTTGCTATTTCTATGGAGAATTTTGTCACAAATCTGCAGATTTATGCAGAATTATTTTAAGAGAATCATAACTAAAAATGTAATATATAAAATAATTAAAAATAATACATATTTAACTTTTATTAAATTTTTACAATGCAAATCAAATTAAATCCACTTATTTGGTAAACAAAGCAAGTCTCTCAAAATATACTAAAAGACAGAAAATATTACTTTATAAACTGTACTGTAAATAAATCAAATCAACATTTTAATATTACTTTTATTATGTCACAATAATATTAGTTGAATGAATTTAAAAACTGAATAAATATACATTTACACAAGCATTCATGGACTTATTGATGGGCTAAAAATCTGTGGAAATCTGCAGATTTCTGCACTTGCAGATTCCGTGTGGGCCTAAACAAGTCACTGGCTGCAGTTCACTTAATGGCCATCAGTGTAACCTAGCAAAGAAAACAACTGGAGGAATGAATGCATCATTTTTGACTAAGAAAGTCTTTTTTTCATATGCCCTTTTACATAAATATTGATTACTCACCTATGTCTAATTCATTATGGTGTTCCTACTCCATACAGGTGGTAGTGAATGCACTTGTAGGTGCCATTCCCTCTATTTTTAACGTGCTCCTGGTGTGTCTGATATTCTGGCTCATCTTCAGCATTATGGGGGTCAATCTGTTTGCCGGAAAATTCTACCACTGCATCAACACCACCACAGAGGAACGGATCCCCATGGATGTAGTCAACAACAAGAGTGACTGCATGGCACTGATGTACACCAACGAGGTGCGATGGGTCAATGTCAAGGTCAACTACGACAACGTGGGACTCGGCTACCTCTCTCTGCTGCAGATTGTGAGTTTTCTCCTGAATTCAGTTTATATGCATGGCCATTAATAGTCATGGTTTCATTTTACTGTTCACAATGTATTACAGAAAACTTCTGGTGGGATAAGATGTGTATTAGGGACAAGCTTGGTGGTATGGGTAGGTTTAAGTGTGAGTTAACAGTGTAATTAATAATGTAAGTACTAAAATTAACTAGAGATGTAATTACATGGATGTATTTAATCAATCATTAGTACAATGTAAAACATGTATTTACACAATAAGTACATAGTAATAAATGATTCATTTCAGTTTACATGTAAGTACATATTAGTTGAGGTGACCTAAATATAAGGGCAACCCGAATCATAAATGTGGGAAATGTGGGTTTTGTTTGATGTTTTGAAAAACAATAACCTTTAAGTGCAAAAATAGAGTGGTCAAATGCAAGATTTAAAACCCATTTTGATTTTACATCAAATTAGGTTTACAAAAGTGATTTTTTTGCAATAAAAAAAAAAAAAAGATTTCCAATACAAAATGAAGTGTTGGACTTTGAATAAAGTGAGATATGCAATGTATACATCTTGTTTAATAATAACAGAGCTTAGGCATATTTACATACTGTAAGAGTGAATGCATTTTTATGTCTTTACCCGCATCAGAAGATAATGAGGTAACTTATTATTAACAAATCCATAATGAATCAAAGAGTTTTATTTGACATGCTGAATAAAGAAAGTACCTCTTTCCACATAGGCCACATTCAAAGGCTGGATGGATATCATGTATGCTGCAGTGGATTCTAGAGAGGTAAGAAAATAACAAGCTTTCCACCAGGAACATTTAGCTCAAAGGGGATATTTATTATTTACAAGGAATGAATTTCTCACTGTTTTACTGAGATCAAATTAATTGCTCAAAGGTCAATTGAAAGACCATAACTATTATTTCTGTTCCCTTTCGAGCTTGCCGGCTGACCCGGGCGGGTCAATCGGTAAAACTGGTTGGGTTCAGGGAAGGAGGAGGGTGGGTCAGCCGATTGGCCGGTCGCGCGGTCAATCATTCGGTCGGTCAGACAGCGGCCTCTGGTGGGTTGACACGAAAACAGCGGGGCACGAACGGCACTCGCGAGAGACGTTCGAGATACGAATAAGCGAGCACAGCGGCCTCTCGCAGATTCGCGCAAACAAAAACTGCACAAATACGTACCTCCCGGGACGTATTTCGTGGTCTCCAGAAACGTCCTCTGGACTACGTTTTTAGAATGAGCCTGGGTTGGTTAAAATATATATAAATAGCTGTGCAAATTTTCTCCAGTGAGTGGTCATTGAAGGGTGTGACAAATAGTTTTAGACTCTCAATCTACTTTAGATTTTAAGAATCATTCATTAATTATTTTCTTTGACAGGTGGATGAGCAGCCATCATATGAAATCAACCTTTACATGTACCTTTATTTTGTTATTTTCATCATTTTTGGCTCCTTTTTTACTCTCAACCTCTTTATTGGTGTCATCATTGACAACTTCAATCAGCAAAAATCAAAGATAAGCATCTTTTTTTAAACCGTACCTCTAAATTATTTTCATTTTTGTTGTACATTTAGATAATTGATTAACTGAAAGAATAATCAATATTTGTTTTTTCTGCACTTTGGAGGGAAAGACATTTTCATGACTGAGGAACAGAAAAAGTATTACAATGCCATGAAGAAGCTGGGTGCAAAGAAACGTCCAAAACCTATACCTCGACCATCAGTAAGAAACATTTTTAATTGATCCATTGCTGGATTTATAACTAAGTTATATTTATTAATGCAATCTTCTCTTCTCCAAACAGAATATTATCCAGGGTTTGGTGTTTGACTTCATATCAAAACAGTTCTTTGACATTTTTATCATGGTGCTAATCTGCCTCAACATGGTGACCATGATGATAGAGACGGATGACCAGAGTGCTGAGAAAGAATATGTCCTGTACCAGATCAATCTGGTCTTCATCGTCGTCTTCACAAGTGAATGTGTACTTAAATTATTTGCACTCAGACAGTACTTTTTCACTATTGGCTGGAACGTCTTTGATTTTGTTGTAGTCATCCTTTCTATTGCAGGTAAGTGTAGAATACAGCAGGTTCATTAGAAAGACGTGTGAAAGGACATTATTAAATTGACATGTTTCGTTGCACTTTCTAAATGAAGTGTGCAGAGATTTTATGTTAAGTTTGAACCGAAACTGTTAAATGTGAAAGTGTTTTATCAGCTTATGGCTCATTCTCTTTAAATAAACCATGTTCTTAATATAAATATAATGCAATCAACTGTGAGATAAAAATATAACCATTTTAACTTGCTTTTGCAAGTATTTAGAACATTTCATGGAACTCACACCCAAATGCCACACATTGCAAGCGTGGTGTTATTTTTCCCCCAATGTGCTTATACTAGTATAAAATTAGTTGTTCAAGATTCAATTTCGTTCATCATAGAGATTTGGAAAATTGTATGTATTAAATGTTCTAAAAGGGTGTGTTCACACTTTTTTTTTGGTCGGAACTGAAAAAGAAAATTATACATTTAGTTCTGTTTGCTTAGGCTTCACACTTAAACTCTGTAAATAGGGTAGTAAAAAGGATGCCTGTAGTCTGTATTTACATGTGATGGGTACATCATGACTATGATGAGAACAAACAGATAAGTTCACACTTACCCAAATGAACCACAATAATTGAATCAAACCTGCCAAGTGTGAATACACCCTGAGTGTGCCTCTGTGTAAACTCTCCTACTGTTATTGCTCTAAGTAAAACCGCAATTTCCTCTTTCCCTAGGTCTAATGTTATCAGACATCATTGAGAAGTACTTTGTGTCTCCTACTTTGTTTCGTGTCATCAGACTTGCAAGAATCGGCCGTGTGCTGCGTCTCATCAGAGGGGCGAAGGGCATTCGGACCCTTTTGTTTGCCTTGATGATGTCACTTCCTGCCCTTTTCAACATTGGACTGCTTCTGTTCCTGATCATGTTCATCTTCTCCATCTTTGGCATGTCTAACTTTGCCTATGTGAAAAAGCAGGCAGGCATCGATGACATCTTCAACTTTGAAACATTTGGTGGCAGCATTATCTGCCTGTTTGAGATCACAACCTCGGCAGGCTGGGACGGCCTTCTGCTGCCTATTCTAAACAGTGGCCCTCCTGATTGTGACCCTGACTTTGAAAACCCTGGTACAGATGTGCGGGGAAACTGCGGGAATCCTGGCATGGGCATCATGTTTTTCTGCAGTTACATCATCATGTCATTCCTGGTGGTCGTGAACATGTACATCGCCATCATTCTGGAGAACTTCAACAATGCTCAAGAGGAAAGTGGAGACCCGCTCTGTGAGGATGACTTTGATATGTTTGATGAAACATGGGAAAAGTTTGACGTCGATGCTACGCAGTTTATTGAATACGACCGCTTGTTTGACTTTGTCGATGCCCTGCAGGAGCCTTTACGAATTGCCAAACCCAACCGTCTCAAGCTGATCTCCATGGACATCCCCATTGTAAACGGCGACAAAATCCACTCTCAGGATATACTTTTAGCAGTGACCCGGGAAGTACTTGGCGACACTATTGAGATGGATGCCATGAAGGAGAGCATCGAAGCCAAGTTCATCATGAACAACCCCACATCTGCCTCGTTTGAGCCAATCATCACCACTCTCAGGAGGAAGGAGGAAGAGCGAGCAGCCATTGCGGTTCAAAGAATATACCGTAGGCATCTTCTCAAGCGTGCCATCCGCTATGCCTGCTTCATGCGCCAATCAAAGAGGAAAGTTAGGAATCCCAACGACAATGAACCTCCTGAAACTGAAGGGTTGATTGCAAGGAAGATGAATACCCTATATGGCAGCAATCCAGAACTTGCCATGGCTCTTGAATTGGAGACTAGGCCAATGCGGCCAAATTCACAGCCTCCTAAACCAAGCCAGGTCACACAGACCAGAGCATCAGTGACCTTCCCTAGGCCGCAAGGACAGCTCATCCTCCCAGTGGAGCTCACCAGTGAGGTGATCCTCCGGTCTGCACCCACTACACACAGCTTCAACAGTTCAGAGAATGCAACAACGATAAAGGAGTCAATAGTATAACTAGCAGACAATTCCTGTGGACTAAAAGACAATCCTTGTGGTGTTAAATGGAGTGTCATCTGAACAACAGAAACTCCGAAACTGGATATCTTAAAGGATTACACGGAACTGCTTCAGTGTGACAGCATTGGAAGGCTATTTTACTTGGGAGAACTTTTTTATTCTTTGATTGAAACTTTTCTATTCAGTATTTTTGCTTATTTGTTCCCAATTAAAAATGTCCCAGTATTGGTTGTTAATTAGCAGTGTTCTTTTGCCCTTTTATACATGTGTATGTTTGCGGTTGCACACTTTTAAATAGACATTTAAATGATTTTTTTTCTGTCTCATATGCCACCAATAGAAAAACACCTCTATTTTTTCATGTCATTTCATCTCATACACATACAAGTTTGGTAGAAATATCCCATTCCAGTTATAGCCGTTTAAGAAAAAAAATTAATTTGATTTTGGCACACTGATGTCGTTGAAGTCAAACGTTTCCTTTTTTCTTTCATTTTTCTTTTTTTTGATCATTACTGACATTCTATATCCAGATAATCGTTCTGCACTGATTTCTGAACAAGCAAAAAGAAAAATCTATAATATCTGCATGTTTGTACTAGTAGTATACTTAACATCGGCTCATTCTGAAAATGTAGCCCTATATACATTTCTGAAGATTGCAAACTATGTAGCCAGAAGTACATATGGCTGCATTTTGTTTTTAAAAAGAACGCTACAGGGCGGTATGACGCCGTTGCTTTTCACGCTTACCAACTGACCGCTTACCTCCATATGGTCGGCTTTCCAGCTGTTACCAGTTTGTCCAGTTAGCTCATATGAACGTTGGAGGACTTGAGATGCAAAGAGGAGTTGACCATCACAATAGGGTTTAAGTCCGGTGAAGAATGGCTCCAGAAAGCAATGAAAGACAAAAACAGAATCCAAAATATAAAATGAACAAGTAAATAACAGGGTGAGAATGTGGTAAAATCTGAAAACATGGTAAAAATCAGGCGATTTTCTTTTTCTGGATTCCTTTGTAAAACTGTCGGTTGGGTTTAGGGAAGTGAGTGGGCGGGTCAATCGGTGCTTTTGAAAACACTATCGGTTAGGTTCAGGAAAGGCGGTGGGAGTTAGTCAGTCAGTCAATCAATAAGTCAAACAGTCAGTCGACAGAAATTTGGGATCTCAAAAATGTACACAGCGGCCTCTGGTGGATTCCTGAAAATAAAAAATTACAAATAAATGTAGCTCCTGGGTCGTTTTTGTCACTCTGCAGAAATGTATATAGAGGTACGTTTTCAGAATAAGCCTGGGTTGCGTATACTTGTTTTGAGACTGAATTTGGCAATAGGAAAGGTCTTTAAGAATAAAGTTTCCTTCCCCAAAATGTAAGCTCACATTTTACAGGTTCATCATAGTTTTCATCTAGTGTGAAATCATTTTTTATGTCTTTGTATACGTATGAACTGTATCAGTGTTTATTGCTCCCTAAAACTTTTATAGTTTTGTTGATCAAAAAATGTATTTCACAGTTTTAGTCTAGATTCATCATCAGTGTTTGTGATTACAGGATGAGTCTTTAACACCCATAGAAACTTTTTTAAAAAAGGATAATTTTTTGTAGGAAAATTAAAAAAAATGTTATTCAGTGCCAATGAAAAATAAAAACATTATTTTAAAGAGGGATAGAATTTAAACAGGCCACTCAAACATTTTTAATTTACACACCATTCACCACTCCTCAAGTGGAGATTGAGTAAATTATGACTAGGGTCAGCTATCCCTTTAGCTAACAAAAAACAGATCCTGATCTTAATCTTAACTATTCGCAACAATTAACACTATCACAATACAGATTATCAGTTTTCAGCTAAATTGTAGAATGAGTAGGCCAGAAAACAATCATTTACAGTGGAGTGTACAAAGTCACTTTGAGCAAAATGTGCTACTGCAAAAGACATAAACATTCTTAAACAGTCTTAAGATTATGTAAAAAAAAAAAAAAAACAGTAACTTGAAGCATTGAAGGCATAGTTTATAGCACTTCCTGGTATTCAAAAATGCATTGTACTCCTGATTATTTATATGGTTTGCAAACATCTATCACACCTGTAATATTTAGTTATTAAGTGCTTTATTAGTTATAATATCCTACTTTTAAATTGATGTAATTCAACATATATTATTTTTTTAATTGTATTTAACAGAAGCACTGATATTTGAAGAATGCCCAACTATGTACTCATAATGAGTTTTAACAGGTTCTCTTTCTCTGTCCAGGTGTTAATCAGACTTGCTGACACCATGCTGTTGAAGTGATTCTCTTCTCTTTACAAAGTTAGTCTAAAAGAGCCACCAAACATGTGCTTATCTAATAAATCAGTAAGTGAAATTTATATATTTTTTACTCAAGATATGTTCACACCTTCCTTTAAATTCCTTTGATCAAATATCTTTTTTTTTTCAGTTTAAATGTTATTTTGAAAACATCAAGGCAATAATCCCCCGTGCACATTCACCGCTTTAATAGGAAAAGATGTATGTATTAGAGACATCACATGATAGATTTCCTCTGAAGTCTTAATATGACTGAAAATGTCTTATTTTGCAAAGTTTTTAATGAAGCACTTTTTTGAAATCGTTTATATATTTACCTCTTGTATAGTTTTTTAGATTTGATCTGTCATTACCAAACAACACTAATGTTAAATCTCACATCTTCATTTACTGTACGTTAAAATCAGAATGAAGTTTGGTGAGGAAAAAACAAATCTCATTACGCTTGTATGTGTTCTGTGTGCAGTTTCGTGCACGTTTTGGTTTCATGTTAATATTGTAATGAATATGCTGACATTTTCTATTGTTTACATTTTTATCAAGGAAGGAGACATTGCCGTGCTATAGGTTTTGCTCGCCTCTGTTTGCCTGTATATACATTTTGCAGATAGAAGCATATTTCTCTGATGCTGTCTTTTCTTTGTATCATCACGTAAGTACGTGTGCATTTCAAATGTTCATGGAATAAATTTAATAAGATAAAGGAATTTCTCTTTATGCTTTAACGGTTTGAGTTACAGTCTCAGATTTAATGTCACAGCTCACCTCATGTCAGGTTTTAGTGGTGTTTACAGTCTTAGCATGCTATCATGTGATGTTTATGGATATGCTTTCCCAGAGGTGTTTATCAAGCCCATTTTTCCATTAGACTTGTGCTCCATATGACTTTTTCTGTGTGTGTCGCAGTGGCCTCAGAACGGATAGCTGTTCTTGTTTCACACCATCTATTTTTACTCTCAGCTTGAAATGTCTTCACCTCAGGTAACCAGTCTTAATACTTTTGGAATCCAGTGATCTATAGATTGGTCAGTTGTGATATGGTATGTGATATTTAAAAATATGATATTCTAAATATTGTGATATTTAGAATTCTTTGCATTTTTACTGCTTCATGTTTAAAAATGACCACAGGAGCGTTTATTTCCAAAATAGCAGGTTGATAGTTAAATAGTCAAATAGTGACTCTGTTAAAATGGTTGAGTTAAAAATACCCCAACAAATAACCCAACTATAGGTTATTATAGCACTTTCCCAACTATGGGCTATTCTAACCCAATGCATTAGGTTATATAATTTAATTTATGTGTGTGTGTGTGTGTGTGTGTGTGTGTGTGTGTGTGTGTGTGTGTGTGTGTGTGTGTGTGTGTATATATATATATATATATAAATACGTTATATATATATTTAAGATATCATGTTTATATTTAATCCTGGTGTTACTATTGCTACTATTACTAGTACTAATATTCATTTTATAATTATGACTGTGTAAAAAAAATAACATACAGTATTCAAAAATTTTAAAAATGCTTTTTTTCATAACATTTTAGTTCCAGACACTTTGTTAAAATAAATCAAGAATCGCAAACAATGGAGAAACAGAACAAAGCTCAGAAAATCATGTGTTGATTGAGCAGAATATGGAGCTCTGTGTGCTGTAGAGACTGTTCAACAGCTGCAGCAGGCTTTACTCAGTATAAACAATGTACAATACATTTTAACCACATCCAAACACTTCTAAAAGATGGTCTTGGATGGTGAATTGGATATAAAAACAAGACACAGAGGGGTAATTTGATAAAAAAAAAAGAAATAAATAAATATTACTGCGTTATCGCTTAAACTGTATAAGGCAAAAACAACATTACGCACACATATTAATTCAGTGGTTTTGTGTCAGTTAAATCAGTTGACTGTTGAAATTATAATTTTTAACCCCATCTAATTTTTTTCAGTGTATAAATCAATATTTTTATGGGAAGATAGCTGTACAATTGTGAGTGAGTGTGTGTGCGTGTGCTGCGTGCGTGCGTCTGTGCACTCATGCGTGCTATTTGGCTGTGTCTTCAGGCCACATAGTTCCCTGCACTGAACCAGTGTTAAGGTTCAGACACAGCGGGTGAATTACAGTCTGCTTTCGAACCATTGAACAAAACAGTGGTGAAGTATGAGCTCATGCAGGGTAATTCCCATGATGACCAATAGCCTATCACTCACAGAAGTTACCTCACTCATCTAAAACAGGGATCATCAACCTGCATGTCCTCATTTGCAGACTCATTCCTGGGTCAGTATATTTTGTTGATCCTGAAGCAGTAATCCTCCACAACAACATAATTTCAGCCTAACTTTTTACTCCTAAACCTTACCATAATTGTATTGTTTGTACAACAACTGTAGATATGTCGAAATGATCAAGACGTTTGAGGATTCAGGCTTAAATTGATTAGTTAATATGAAAGGAGTTGAATTTCAGATGTGTTAATGGACATTAGGTTTTTGAAACATACTGTAAGTGCACCAATCACAGACTAAGCCACCTGACCAATCAGAGCAGGCTTTCAAAAAGGCGGGGTTTAGAGCTGATGCCTTCAAAACTAATTAGAAAGAATTTAAACAGCATTACATAGATGAGCGTGCAGCGAGGATGCAGAAATAAACCGGGAGCACTAGCATTTATATTAGCGTTTGTTTTTGTCTTAGAAATAAGTTATATTGATTACATATTATACTATATATATATATTATTTACATAATGCTTTCAGCGTATTATAACAGCTTGTCACCCAGTAATAAGCAAAGATATTCTGCAAAATTAACGTTAAAGTGAGCGGCGTTCATCTGACAGGTTAATTTGCGATAGACGGATAAGATGAAATGACCAAGCATCCAGCCCGAAACAGACAACTATATCATTGAAACTCCAAGTGATTTTATAAGAGAAAAGTTAAAGGTCTACAAGTCTTTGGATGCCTAAAGTTTTGTTCTGTGTGAACATGTGCACGAAATAATGTTTCATGGTTACCAGATTCAACACTATGTAGTGCTAAAAACGAGGTTCGGCCTAGCCAAAGTCAAGGAAAGAAGACGAAACTGTACAAGGCCTGGGTCATCATCAACAAGCAAAACAACTGCATTCTGACAGTGAACTGCACCTGTATGACAGGGTATGTGAACCTACATCGTTACATTTCATTCTAAGCATTCAGTGTCTGCAGGTTTAATGAACCATATTTAACTGTTTTGTCTGAAATCATTGCAGCAATTAAAAAACGAGTGATGTGTATGATTCACATCAGCATGAACTTACCTGATGTGAAATGAGAACTGCAGAGTCGAGCATTTCAAATAAGGTCCTCACTCCATTCAGCTCCCTTTTAACGTCTGTGCTTAGCATTAAAAGCAGTGTGGTGTACGGTAAGAGTTAAGTTTTCTGTTTTGCGAATTTGGCATTCTACCGCAAAACACAGTTTGCTATTGCAACCGGTCTTTATTATAAAATAGTAACTATGTAGAAGTGCCTAACTCTGATTGTAAGACTAAACTTGACGTAAACTGTAAACTTGTTCCACAAATCTGATTGGATGATTGGAAAATAGGGTCAGGGAGTACATCATTTTTCAGAAAACATTCAAATGATTGTAGTTACTATTTTCCTGTCAGTTTTTCATCTCAAACCTTTTACATTGTGAAATTGTTCAGACCACACCTCTAAAATAACTAGCGAGATATTAAAGTGCAAACAGTATATAATGCTGTTTTATTGTTTCCTAATTAGTTTTAAAAGTCTCCTACAATAGGTTTACATCCATCCACGGTCAATAAAAACAATGATTTTTCTTATTGAGAAATCAGTCCTTTCTGGCAGTCTGCTCTGATTGGTCAGGTGCTTTCTCTGTTCTGATTACAGTAGGTTTTAAAAACCAAATGTATATTAGCACAGCTGAAATTCAACTCCTGCTTTACTTTATCAATGTATGCATGAATCCTCAACCTTCTTGACCATCTTCAATCTTCTGTCAACCGCAGAAACTAAACCCAGGCTAAAATGTTCGAAATAGTCTAATGGGTCTTACTTCTTACTTATTTCATTTTATGTGAATATTTAAAGTCACCTTCAGTATGTCAACCTCAGTGAACCCTTAGAAAACGATGCAAGCGTCATTATGCTCACAGACAGGGACTTTACATTTATTTGTTAAAATATTGTTGGGTTTACAGCTGCAATCTAGTTCACTGTCAGGTGATTTCCTGCACTTCTGTCCAAGCACTGATTCCCAGAATTGTATATAATTATTTTCATTTAAATGGACTGCAGTGATGATATTTTAGTGTACTTTTAACTTCCTTCAGACTGGCCTTTTTGATTGATCTGAAGAATGAGCATTTAAGATAAACAGAGTGTGGAGTCAGTCACAACCCAATAAAGGCTCACTTCTCATTTAAGGATGTATTTCATAATACTTATTTACTTTTATCATTTTCAAATCTGTAATGGCTTCCTTGCCTCCTCAAACAGATCTAAGTGATAAGAGAGTCTGATAAGTGTGTTTGTGTGGTTACAGCTGTGCTCTTCACACAGCTCAATGACTGCTGCTCTCCACCCACTGTGACGGACTGCACCGCTCATGCACACGGAAAGCACCGACTTATGCATGTAAATTACAGGCCCTTCACTGGCTTTGACACAACTAAATTCATCCTAGCAGCCATCAGATAAAGGAAAACATAAGTTAGCCCAGAACTAGGATTGTGCAGTCTTTTCCCTGAAGAACCAGTTCAGATCCGGCTTAACTTCCTGAGATGTCCTGTTGATAATTGAGGCTGGATATAAACTCTGCTGGATGGTGGTTCTGCAGAATCAGGACTGACCACTCCTGTAATGGACTACTGTAAATACACTCCTCTCATCCTCCAATCAGTGAGCAGTTCGTCATTGCCAACAGGTGATGGTCATTATGTCTGACTAGAGAAGAACAAAGAAAGAATGAAAGAAAATACAAAACAAAAGCAAATTTGTGCTGGGATGTGACACAGTTCTGAGTGAAATAATCCTTTAAATCCCCTTTCTTCTGCAAGAACATCAACTTTTTTGTTATTATTTTCTCATTTTGCCCTGATGATTGACCATTCCATTTGTTTGTTGTTAAGTTATTTGACTCATGAATGTTGAAACAGCGTTCATCACATTTGGCATCAGGTTTATTCACTTGGTTCTTGACACTTTGATGCATGAGTGTATTGATTTGCATGTTTCTCAGAAGTATCTTCACAGCTTTAGACCTGCACCTTCTGGCAGAGGCAGGACTGTGCTCTGGTGAGCTGTACTCCTTCTGTTCACTCTCTGTGACAGACGTCTACATTACTTTCAGAGGTGGATTTGAAGACTTCAACATCATGCATCACTTCTTGCTGGGATTCTCAGTCATGGCATTGATTTACCTGTCAGGTAAGTTACTGCTTAAGACATTTAAAAAAAAAACAGCAGCAGTATTATTTGAGCTTCAAATATGTTTCTGTTGCTATTACTAATACACTTTGTATATTTTAACAAGAATTTGATCTGGTTTTTGATTGATACACTCCAAAAAATTACATTGGTTGTTTGTTCAAACTACTTATTTAAAATGATGTGAAACAACACAATTATTGAGTTTGTTTGGGAGCAACTTAATTGCTTCATGTTCAATCCACTTAAATTTGTCAAAACTAAAAAGTTACCTTAATTCCTTCATGTTGTGCCAACACAAGTCAAATGTGTGGAACCCAGGATTATTATAATGTACACTCAAACTACTTTCATCAACACAGTTATTGCGATTTTTGTTGACAACTTAATAGTTTCACAGTATGTTTAATCCACTTAAATTAGATAACTTAATCTATTTGTGTTGGGAAAACGTGAAAGAATTGTGTGGAACCCTGCATTTCTACAGTGTATGACATTTTGTCTGAAAGTTGAAGGATTGCTATTTACATATTACAGTTGCCCTAGACTTGTTTTCAGTGTTGTTCTTCCTTTCCATCTGTGAGCGAAAGAGGAAGTCCACTTTTACTTCAAAACAAGTTTGCATTCGCCAAATATGTTAAGACCTTGTTAACAGCTTATAAAGCTGTTAGCATTCAGACTGTTTTTATAATAACAATCATATTTTGTGGATACACTTGTGCTGATTTGTTACAACAAAAGACCACTGCAATATAAATGTGTTCTGTCCAGCCTAACCTCACGAGAAAATGTAAGTATTTTACATTTTGCCAGTTTAGTGGCTAATTTGTACGAATTCGTACGAGTTCAGTCGTACGAAATTGTACGATTTTAAAAAAGAGGCGTGGCACCTAACCCCACCCCTTACCCCAACCGTCATTGGGGGATGAGCAAATCGTACTAAATTGTACTAATTAGATTGTAAGTCATACAAATTAGCCACTAAATCAAAAAGTTACGAATTGCCATGAGACATAGGTTCTGTCCTATGTATTTTCCCCTCATGTATCAGCTTATAATACGGTTATTATTCAGTATTTTTTAATAACAATCATGTTCCGTACACTCTCAGAAATAAAGGTACAAGAGCTGTCACTGGGGTAATACCTTTTCAAAAGGTACACATTTGTACAAGGGTCCATATTGGTACCTCAAAAGTCAACGCCATCTCACGGCAATTTGTAACTTTTTGATTTAGTGGCTAATTTGTACGAATTCGTACAATCTAATTCGTACAATTTAGTACGATTTGCTCATCACCCAATGACGGTTGGGATTAGGGGTGGGGTTAGGTGCCACGCCTATTTTTTTAAATTGTACATTTTCGTATAACTGAACTCGTACGAATTCATACGAATTAGCCACTAAACTGGCAAATCATAAAATACTTACGTTTCATTGTAACCCCCCCTGATTTCACGCTGCCGGCATTATTATAAGCGAAATCTAAGTTTCATACGATCCCGGATGTATCGTTGGTAGTTAAATAGGAACGTTGTGTACCTGGCTGTATATCTTATCAGCAAGGAGAAAGTGACACAAACTTATGATTTCACCGCTTTCCCAGTGACCCGAAGGTCCATTCCGAATTAATGGTAAAAATAAAAAGGGATATCAAACTCGAGTTAATGAACTGATTCTTTCACTATATTAGACTTGTCACGATACTGAATTAAAAGAAAAATTGTCAATTTTCCGCTAACATTTCAGGCAATGTTTATGGCTTTCTTAAAACAGACAGATTTGCCATTGTGTTCACCTGTTCAACAGAAATGCTTCTGATTGGCCGAGAAAGTCATTCGTTCACCCTCCACTGTTTACCGAGCACAAACACAGACGAGCAATCTGCTTAATGACACAACTGATCTTCAAGGCTGCTTCGCGCTCCAGTGTCCGTGTATCTGTGTTTGCACTGGGTGAAGAGCAGTAAACTGAGTGCAAACACAGATACACGGAGACTGGAGTGTGAAGCAGTCGTGAAGAGCAGTCGAGTCATCCGCGCTCAGCGGCGCTTCAATGTTAGCAGAAATGGACGGATTTTGTTCTATTACAGACAACACGAGGATGTGCTAAAGAGGACTGCAGTTTTTTATCAGTGTTTTAAGCAGGAAAGCGTACCCAAGGTGTTTAACTGGTGCTATGAACTGAAGCCTAGGAGGACACTTGAGCATATTACTCTTACAGAAATTGTAATATTGTTTGATGCTAATTTGCTTTTAATTGTTTAAATTAAACTGAACTGGATGATATTAAAGTGATGTTTACACCATTGTATTTTGAAATCTCAACAACAGCCGGAGTTTTGTAGTGCACAGCATGTTACTGCAATGTTTACAGTGCTGGTCCTATACTTTCGGGTTTCTTCCCACCGCAGCCTCGCTTTGGTTCTTTAAAATGGCAGCTGCATGAAATAAGAGTATTTGTACCCTTGAGGTATTAATATGAACCTTTTAGGTACAAGTTTGTACTTTTTTGAAAAGATACCACCCCATTGACAGCTTACGTACCTTTATTTCTGAGAGTGTAGATTTACTTGTGTGGATTTGTTACAGCAAAAGACCACTGCAATCTTAAATGTGTTGTCTTTTTTCTCTCCTCATGCATCTTATCATTTCAGCTGAAGGAAGCATCATTGTATTCCAGAAGCCCAGATTTATTGGCGTTAAGACAGGTCGGACTGTGATCATATACTGTGTGCCGTCGAATCCCACTCGCGGGCCAGCTCGTGTACAGTGGTTCAAAAACAAGAATTACCAAAGCTCACTTACGAATGACCAGAGAATAACAATTAACGACAGGAACAATGATAAAAATGCTTCCATTACTTTAAAGAAAGTGGAGACTGAGGACAGTGGCACTTACGTTTGTAAATTAAATGATACGTTCGGACCAGGAACTGCACTTCAAGTATCCAGTAAGTATCGTCATTTGTTTTAACATCTTTTTTTTTATAGCCTGTGTGTGAGATAAATATCTCCTTGTGTTTATCCTCAGGATATAGCGAGCCTCATGCTGTCTTGATGAGATCTAGAGTTAAGGATGTCATCATTTTCCTTCAGGCTTTCCTCTTGGTTTTGTGCATTGTCGTTCCTCTGGTTCGACTTTACAAACTGGTAATTAACTTATTCCACATTTCTCTGTTGCATGTGTTGACTTTTTTGGACGCGTCACTAACACTAGCTACTGTTTCTCATTGTGTTTGATTACAGGAGAAGAAAGAAGAGGCTGAATATGAGGAGCCAGAGGATGACCACATATATGAGGTGATGCAGGTTTACGGTTGATTGAGATTTAGCTCAGAGTGCTGAAGTTATTGTTGCATGCAGGACGGGAAGTGAAAACACACATGCCTTTTTCTTTTACATGAGTTTATGAATTTAGAGTTGTGATGTACTTGTAATCATATACATTATTTTTGCTACATTCAGGCCCTTGAGTCTTGGTCAAATCTCGTCCTCTACACATGTGTTGTTCAAAACATTTCTGCATTTTATTCTGTTGACAAAAAAAGTAGAAAATTACAAACATATCGTCAGAGGAAAAGAACATTCATTGACAAAACAAAAAGACTATGGAAACCAGTGGCCGTTTTTTACAACATTATTTCTAATATCCTATCAAAAGGAAAGAAAAGCAGTGTGAATAAATAATGACAGTATTTTCTTTTTTAAATGCACTATCCCTGAAAATCAAGACAAATTTCAAGAGTTCACACTTAGCTGTTGATTTATAATAAGCTTGTTTGGCATGCTGTCCATCAAGAGAGCCCTGAGCTCAAGGCATTCTCAAGTCCAGGGCTCCCTCCTGTTCGCAGGGCGAGTGGGGAGATTAAGCTTGGGTAGATCTCAAAAACGGCGGGCATTGGCACAGCAGGTAGTGCTGTTGCCTCACAGCAAGAAGGTCGCTGGTTCGAACCTCGGCTTAGTTGGCGTTTCTGTGTGGAGTTTGCATGTTCTCCCTGCCTTCGCGTGGGTTTCCTCCGGGTGCTCCGGTTTCCCCCACAGTCCAAAGACATGTGGTACAGGTGAATTGGGTAGGCTAAATTGTCCGTAGTGTATGAGTGTGTGTGTTGATGTTTCCCATAGATGGGTTGCGGCTGGAAGGGCATCCGCTGCGTAAAAACTTGCTGGATAAGTTGGCGGTTCATTCCTCTGTGGCGACCCCGGATTAATAAAGGGACTAAGCCGACAAGAAAATGAATGAATGAAAGAGATCTCAAAAACTCCCCCGCTGGTGTGGCTAAAACTGAACTGCTCTGAGAAGAAAACACTGATGCTGGGAGCTAGACTATGGTGCCCATTTGGTTTAGTTGGTTTACGGTGGGAGGAACCCAGGGAACCCAGTGGAAACCCAGGCGGACACGGGAAGAACATGCAAACTCTGCACAGAAACGCCAACCGGCTCTGCGAGGACCAGAGCCATCTGTGTTCTTGCTGTGGGGCAACAGTGCTAACCATTGCATGCCGCCCAATCTAGGTAAAGGAGGGAGGAGAAGAGGAGGAAGGGGGGTTTCTTCCAGACGAAGATGATTGTGGAATAAAGACTGTGGTTATTTATACTGACTTCCCCCATAGCAAAATTTCTCTGGCCCAGATCTGGCCCACACCCTCAGCATTTGCTTGGCCCACATGCCGCAGTGAATTGATTGGACTAAGTCTGGCTTCCATACAAGAGGACATGGACCATATCTGGGCTAAGTCTCAGACAAGTTAATAACCCAGAACTGGGCCAGATGTGTTGGTGTTACACGACTGCATTGTTTTTTATAAACCCATCAAGCATTTTGCTTTATGGCTGTGCTTTTCTTGAAGCGACCTGATTGATAGATTTTTTTCTTAAATCAAAAATAATTTAAATGTATTTTAAAAGTGGGTCAGGATAGGCCAAACTTACGTGGCCCACATATACGTTTTTAAAAATTGGGTCAAATACTACATTTGACATCTGGGCCAAAACTGGGCCATGTTTGGCCCACATGCTGTATGCCAGTGCTGGATGAATGCCTGCTGTGCCAGCTTTATGCTAAATCTGGGCCAAAATTCTTTGCTACCTGGGTTAGGATTCATCTGATTGGAGGATCGTTTTTAGCTAATGCGGGACCGGCTGTGGTCAATCATAAGTATGTGATCCTCTCGAAATTAATTTATAAATAAACTTCACATAGTGAAGCAAGCCATGAGAGAAGCAGCGAAAAACAATATATATATAACGTCCAAAAACGTCTAAAAACATGCCACCTAAGTTTATTGACTAATCCAAATCAGCAACATAGACATGCTCCTAGCAAGTAGTAGAGCAATCACTATCTGTTCATTAGCTACTACAGCAGGGGAGTTCTTGATATCTACCTAAGCTCAAACTCCCCTCTCGCCTGGCAAACGGGAGAGAGCCCTGGCCTCGAGGATCTTATAAGCTCAGGACTCTCTCCCAGGACAGCATGCCAAACAAGCTTTATAATCAATCATCAGCTAAGTGTGAACACTTGAAATAGACTATATTCAGTATGTTGTTTCTTCTGTGTTGTATAAACAGGGTTTGGAAATCGAGCAGGTTGGTGGAGATGTGTATGAGGACATCTCAACGTTTGCCCAGAGCAGTGATGCAGCTTGGCAAGTTGAGTCTCCATGCCAAGAGTGAGAAAAACCAACGATATCTCACACCATTTCATACTTTTTTGATTTAGTGGCTAATTTGTATCAATTTGAATGAGCGCATTCATACATTTTAGTATGATTTGCTCATCCCCCAATGACAGTTGGGTGTTAGGATGGGGTTTGGTGCTTAGTTTGGTATTAGAAAACTTTACATTTTAATAATAATCTAATAATCACCAGATCTCAGCTTTAACACCAGACGCAGGTGGATGCTTTCAGTCTCATTGTTTGTGTTTTGTGTATATATATATATGTGTGTGTGTGTGTGTGTGTGTGTGTGTGTGTGTGCGTGTGTGTGTGTGTGTGTGTGTGTGTGTGTGTGTGTGTGTGTGTGTGTGTGTGTGTGTGTGTGTGTGTGAACATGCTAAAGATTTCACTTTCAGTTTGAAACTGTTATTACTATTCGTCACCTTAGAACTATAAGGTTGTATCTGCATTCTGAATGATTTCGAGATATTGAGCTTCAAAGTTTTTGCATTCCATAGCAAACAGTAAGTGTGTAACATTTGTTTTTTTAAATAAAAACTGTTAAAATGTAAATAACTTATATAAAAAATCCCATAATGTAAATAAGTTGTCAATTGATAGGAAAATGTCAATAACTCAATTTTGACAGAAATGTCTGATAGAACCTTATAAATCTAAGGTGACGTATTGTAACTGATAGTACTATATATAAATAAGCATGTAGTTTTAGTTCTTGTTAATGCATGTAAACATTTACATAATGATTATTCAAGGACATCGTAGTATTTTTACATTTTGTTCTTGTTGCTTGTTTATTTTACCAGCTGATGTCCTGTAATATACTGGGTATTTAGTGTGTTTGATTTTTACAGTATGTCTGTTGTATAAATACACTGGCTCTGGCTGGTCATTCATAAAAAGGTGCTTCATATGTGGAAATAAATACTAGTGGTGAGGAACTGTTCTTCTGAAGGCAGAAATATCCACTTTCACTTCATTTCTGTTAAAATAAGCATGTGAGAATCAGGTGTTTTCCACAACATCGCTTTTTTAGCTTATTTTTCATGCATTTTATCTGATGTGGCTTCAACATCAAACAACATATGACTGTCTGTATAGATTTAACATTTTAAATGTCACTATCTGACATAAATGTGTATTTTTTGTGAATTTTGAAATGTTATAAAGTTTTGTTTTGAATTTGTTTCTGTCTAAAACGTGCTACTGAATTTTGATGCATTTTGTAAATGTAGACATTACTCTGTTAGGAAACTGTCGTGTCATTTTAGTGTCATATAACCTTTTTTCAAAGTTTGCACAATTGCTATTTGCATATTACAATCACCCTAGACTTCTTTGCATATAAAAAACAAACAAACTAAAATCGAGCACATTTAGACATTTGAGCTCAATACTAATACTTAATATAATGCAGGGGAGAGTGGGGACGGCTGCAGCATGGGGCAGTTGCAACAAGACTTACTCCTCCATTCAGGAATGAGCTAGAGTGATAATATTGTACATATTCTCATTTAGACCCTCCTGCAATCAGAAAGGTAATTTTCTAAAAGGTAAAAAAAAGTAATTTTTTTTAAGGTAAAAAAGTAATTTTTTTAATCTTTAGAAAATTTCTGTTTTCATTCATTTTCTTTTTGGCTTAGTGCCTTTATTAATATGGGGTCATCACAGTGGAATAGACCATCAACTTATTCAGCATGTGTTTTACGCAGTGGATGCCCTTCCAGCTGCAACCCATCACTGGGAAATAATGTTTTTGTGAAACATTAATCATTCATATAATTTAAATCGCTGTTTTCTTCAAATAGGTGTAGCGTTAAAACTATTGTATCTGTCTAGCATAGACAGTTTCATCATGGTTGACAGAGTTAGAACATGCTGTTGCAAGTGTCCCCTATCACAAACATCACTTCAAAGCTTGCCATATTAACGATGTACAATATTAATTTTATTACAGTTTCTTTGATTAATACTTTGATTCTTTGATTAATTAATTTCAAGGTTCACAGAAGTGTATTTTAATCAAAGTTCAGTCTAGATTTTCAGAAAGAAAAAAAATATTCCAGTTTTTTAGCTTGATAATTGGCTGTTGCTTGTTCTTTTAATATTCTGTATTTCTATGGTCAGTTTAACACATTTAACATTTTAACAAATTTACATTTAGTCTGTTTACCATTAAAATATCAATAAAATCCAGCTTGATGTTTTAGGTTTTTTTATTGTTACATTTTAATGAATGTTGTCATCCCCCTGCTCTGGATAAATTGCATTTTGTCTGTTCAAAAATTCATAAAAATTTTGTGTTTCCACGAAAAACTGTCTGTGAGAAAATAAAAGAAATGCAAGAAGTGTTGCAACAGTCCCCACCCTCCCCTATGATGAACAAATTAACCAAGCAAGAGCACACTTTTGGAAATAGAGAAGACAGAGGACCGTCTCGCAGTGTTTTGTTGTTTAGCCTCTTAATATTATCCTGCAGTGAAGGAAAACGCGCCATCTTGTGGTCATTTTAGACAGATATTAGTATGAGAAAGGCTGGAATAAACAAGACTGCTGCAAAGATAAATTAAAAGACGAGTTATCTGTCGCTAGTAGCTGAGCTCAAAGGTTTGTCAGATAGACTTGTATTTTTTTACTTTCAGACTGTGATTTCATCAAACATGTTTGTTTGTTTGTTTGTGCTGAATGACTTGAAAGTTTGGTGATGTGTATGGCCATTTTTTTTAGAAGTGAAAAGTCGAATAATTTATTCCACCATGCGAATCCTGAAAAGATATCACAGTTAATCTAGTTTTATTAATACATTTACTAATAATCCTGAAAAGATATCACAGTTAATCTAGTTTTATTAATAAATTTACTAATAATCCTGAAAAGATATCACAGTTAATCTAGTTTTATTAATACATTTACTAATAATCCTGAAAAGATATCACAGTTAATCTAGTTTTATTAATACATTTACTAATAATCCTGAAAAGATATCACAGTTAATCTAGTTTTATTAATACATTTACTAATAATCCTGAAAAGATATCACAGTTAATCTAGTTTTATTAATACATTTACTAATAATCCTGAAAAGATATCACAGTTAATCTAGTTTTATTAATACATTTACTAATAATCCTGAAAAGATATCACAGTTAATCTAGTTTTATTAATACATTTACTAATAATTGTTAGGCTATATCTCTGCTAGGAAAAAAAGCAAGAGCCAAAAAATGTGAATTCTCTTATTTTTTTAGTTGATTCTCTAAAGTACTGATGACATTTCTTCTGAATTAAAAAAAATGCTATAATTTAGATCATAAAATTAGGTCAAACATAAAACGGTGCGTGTTTTCAGACAGTTTATATTCATTTTCAGGCAATACACTACAATACAACACAATGCCAATTCACTTGAGAAGATTTATAAATGTTTGGTGTAATAACAATGATTTTTAATTACAACAAAATTAATTATTTCGACTAATTATCATATTCTGCAAAATAATATTAAATAAATAAATAAATAATGCTGTAAATGAGAATCCTTTTATGTGAAATTTGGAAGAAATGTTATCAGACCTACTGAACGAAACAAATAAGCAATTTAGTTTTGCTCAAACACCTGACGAAACAACATTTTCAAGTGATCATTACTCCAATAGCTGACTACATCAAACATTTATTGATAGCATACAAAAATGAGAATAAAAAATTTTAACAACTGAGCAACATGGCATATTAAATTATAGATAAATATTAAATGACAAATTAATAAATATGGTAAGGCTATTTTGATGGTCCCTATTGCACATGTTGTTGACTAAACCTTGCTTTGCTACTACGTGCCAATTACGTTTCATTTGTGTATTAGTAGACTGTCTGCTTAATATCTGCTGATACAGAATTCAACAGACATTTAACTGACTATAAGAAACTTTGCATGTACATGTGAATTTACACTGACCCCAACCTAACAGTCTACTTATAATCTAATGAGAATTAGTTGTCATGTAGATGCAATGTACCTTAAGTTCAACAAAATGCATTAAAGGGACCATCAAAACAAAGAGATACGATAAAAATAATTATTACCTTAATTAAAATGAAAAAGAATTAAAACTTAAACAATATGTTGACAAATTAAATATCTTATATGAGTCTTTGCCTGCCGCCAGCCTAACAACAATATTATTCATAAATAAAAACAACAGAAAATATTCAAATGTTCAAGTTTTATTGGATGCAAAAATACAAAAATAAATAATTTTACATTTTTCATTCAACGTAATTAGTCACAGCTCAAACACATTTGACATGAATAAATAAATAATGATAAATAAATAATTAAATGAGTATAAAAGCACAACAAATAACCAATGATACAAATAATACAAACAATCACAGCTCAAAGAAATTTGACATAAATAAATAATGATAAATAATTAAATGAAGGCACCAAAAATATGCAATAATATAAATAATACACACAATCACAGCTCAAAGAAATTTGACATAAATAAATAAATAATGATAAATAAATAAATAATGATAAATAATTAAATGAAGGCACCAAAAATATACAATATAATTATTACACGTAATCACAGCTCAAAGAAATTTGACAAATAAATAAATAAATAAACAAATAATGATAAATAAATTAATAATGATCAATAATTAAATAAAGGCACCAAAAATAGGCAAAAATATAAATAATAGACACAATCACAGTTTAAAGAAATTTGACATAAATAAATTAATTAATTAATTAATTAATTAATTAATTAATTAATTAATTAATTAATTAATTAATTAATTAATTAATAATGATAAATAATTAAATAAGTATACAAGTACAACAAATATCCAATATAATATATATGAAAATGCACATACAATAATATAAATAAAATAAATAATAATTAAATAAAGACTAAAAAAAACAAAAAGAATAGAATTTTTTTTCAAGTACATAGGAATTCAAAAGAGGAGTGTCGGCACTGATTAACAACACTGAAATGCTTTAAATCCTTCTGTAAATAAAGGGGAAGCTCCTGTTTTAAACATGAGTGTGGAAGGAGAAGGAGTGCAGCTGATTCATCAAACTGATCACTCGTTTTCTGACCATCTCCCAGCTTCTGCCTCCATCCTGAAAGAGGAACACAACAAATCATTTAGATGTTGATTTTTATAGATTTGACATTTTTGTAGCAGCAAACCATCAAGGAACAGGAAATTGTTTAACCATAACCTCTTGTTTCAGGAATGATTTTTGCTGCTTGTTCAAACTACTTATTTAAAGTGAGCTGAAAACACAGT